TGGATAACGGCCCATCACCACTTCCTGTCCTGCCATGCAGTAGTCCTTGTTTCACTTCTAATTTTCAGTACATTAATATATTAATTTAAAAGTAAAATCAATAAATATTAATCATTCGATATTAATTTCATATCGTAAAAAAATTATTATTATTTACTGAAGTTCAATTTAGTCTCCAAAATTTCAGTGTTTAAAGCGACGGGATTACCAATATTTTTTTTAGAGAGAAAATAAAATATATTTATCTGTTAGATAATTATAATTGATTAATCGATGATCAAATTATTGCCGTCACTATATTTTTAAATATAAATAATAAATGATAGCATCATTATTCTTAACCACCATATTGTCTATGATAGTACTGTGAGCAAATTTTGATGTTGATCGAATGATAAAACTGAATCAATACAATTTGCTTTTATTTTTAGTTTCAGTTCGATTTTCTTTATAAATTACCAAATGGGTTAAAAATAATAAAATCAGTATTTGAGTTAATTTGGTTCAATTTTTTTAGAAGTTTAAATTGGTCCATTTTGAAAGCTAAAACTTAATAATGTTTAGATATCTTTCGATTTATTTTGATTTTTGTAAATAAAATTGAATTATTTCAATTTGATTTAGTTTAATTTTTCACGATTGAACTGAACTGAATGCTTTCTTAATTTCTATATATTATAAATATGTATAGAATAATGCAGCTAACGGGGAGAAGGAAAAAATTGCTTAATTATTGAATAGAAAGCGAACCCAAAATTTGGCATGACCTAAATGTGGGTTTGAGTCATTGTCATGAGTTTGAAGTGATGCAATTTGAAAGCAAAACGATGACAAAAAAAGACAATGTTGTGACTTGGAAATTGAGTTGACACCACTCTTTTTATGTACCTTTAAAATACAGTGTTATTTTAATTTTATAACACCCTTAATTTTTATTTTAATCTATTAAATATTTCAGCTTATATAAATAAAATAAATATCAATATATACTAGTTCGATTTTGATTATATTAATTTTTAATTAATTAATTAATTAATTAATTTTATATATATATCATTTTAACTTGATCGAAACTTGTATGTGAATTGATTTAATGCTTGATTGAAATATTGACATGGATAAAAAAGAATATATTTAAATTAAGAAATTAATATTATTCTTGAAAAATCTTTAATTTGATTGGTTTAGTTTTCCACTCGAATCCAAATCTTAGAGATATAATTCAGAAATTTTTTAAAAAATTATTCTCTTTCTTTATTAAATATAATTTTAATTTAAATATTTAATTTTAATTAAATAATGAGCTCCATAACCCTCTGTGAAATTCTACATCAATAAAAAATTATTGCTAATCAATATTTTATATTATATCATCAAATCCCTTATTTTCTCCATTAGACAGTCAAGTACAAAACATAATTATACTATTGTATTCAATTATATAATATAAGATACCATAAAAAGCAATTATTAATATTTACCATTATAAAATTAGGTCAAACGAAGCAATTATTAATATCTTGACATTAAGTTAGCGTAAACGGATTGATGTGTGTTTATATATACGGATTGATGTGTGTTTAAAAATTAAAATATAAGAAATTTTAAAATTGTAAAGGGTATAATACAATTACAATATAATTTAAAAATTCAAGAACTAAAATGTAAACAAAAAAAATTCATAGTTTAATAATTAATGATTAAAGCGTTGAATGCCAACAAAAATAGTAAGATTATATTATTTCTTGCAGGTAAAAGTTGGTACATACAATGACTTCCGCTGATCCAACTGGCTCTTGGCTTTTTATAACATTATTATTAATCAACTTATTAAATTAAATAATAAAAAAAATATTAATTAAAGAAGTGAGGCTGACTAGTATTGGGCTGAAATATAAGCCCAAAACTCTTGAGCCCAATCACTTCAAAAACCATAATCAAGCGCCAAAATTTCCAAGAATAAAACTGTGGAATTGGCAAACGGAGGAAGTAAAAATCGCAGCAATCGAAGCGAAAAGGCCAGTAAGGTAAATTATAACTTCTATGGCATTTTCTATAACGTCGTTAGGCAAGATAATTTGTAACTGAATGGTAGGAGGAAAATCAATTAGTAAATTGATTGTTTTTGGAATTTCTGATCATCTTTAAGAGCCTAATTTGAGTTTGAAGAGGTTATGGTATGTTAATTTTCTTTGATCGCCCCTTGTGTAGTTGGATTACCCTTTTTCCTAAGATAATTTGATGCCTGATAAAAGAATCTGGGCAAATTTCGAGTGGAGAAAAGCTAGCGCTGTCGATATTAATCAATGATTGTGTTTTCTCGCATTTGATTGTCTTTTATTCTTATGTTGTTTGGTTTAAACGAATATGTTCATTTCACTCCCCAAAAATCAATTAAAGATAACAGAGTTAAATTCTTCCATTGTACGAGTAAATTCTATACTTAATAGCATGAGAATATCAGAAGCTTATATCAACTACAACGCAACTATAACACTAAGACTTAATCTCAAACTAGTAAGAGTCGGCAATAGGAATCCTTTTTCCATTTGTTGCTTATATAATGGAAAGATTTATGCCTAAACAGGGAGTTGTAAAACGGACACTGACTCTTGAGTGTGCCTGAAATTGTTGTCTTTTTATGCAAAATCATAATTCTGTATTGAGATTTGCATAGGCAACAAGCATCATATTAGAAGACGCTTATAAGTTAAAGGGTAACTGTAACTTTTCAGCTTGTATATTGATGTGCATCCATGGGTGTGACTTGAATTTCAATCTTAGTCTTAATGAATAATAATCATTTTAATTACATGCTTCTGAATTAAATCTCTTTCGTATCTACTAATTATGTTTGTTACTGTTAGTGAAATTCTGAGATTCTTTTATGGGATTATATGTAATATTTATGAACTAGCTTTTTGTATATGTTTAGAGACCACTATCATTTGCTATTTCTCCAGATAAGGTAAGCAAAATTCTTTTGTTCTTTCTTTTTTTTTTTTTTTTTTTTTTTATTTCTTTTATTCATTTCTTTTTTTTTTTTTTGGTTTTTTTTTTTTTTTTTTTTTTTTTTTTTTTTTTTCCGGAATTGGTATTGCAGATTGCTGAGCTGGTATCTGCAAGGTCTTGCACTGAGGTAAAATTCAGTAGATTCCTTTGTTTATTTCCTTAATCTACTTATTTTTGAGTATGTTAGCTTTGTCCCTTACCCAGCCTTTTCTATCTGCTTTGACACAATTGTCTAGGTTTAGGACAAGTAGTGAACATAGGAATTTTATTTTCCAACTTTTAGAAAAGGAAGGCAGATTTGATTTGTCCATAAGAAAGCTTATCAGGTCTTTACCTTATGGTGTTTGTATGTATCAATCTTCTAATGACATTTCCCTTTGAATAACCCATGTTTGGGCCCTCCACCCACTTACGACATACTTTATATTACCATGACTTGACCCCCCCTTTGATGCCTTATGTATCATTTTCTTGTATCATGCCTTCTTATGGTCTTTTTGGTGCTCTGTGCATCATCCTTTCTAAAGGCTATCCTTAATGTTCATAATCACTCAAATAGCTTCAAGCTTTAATCTTTATAATATGCATGCGTGTTCACGTGCGCACTGAATCTCAATCTTCATATTTAGCAATACATACTAGATAGTTTGGTGCTATGCATTATGATTGAAACCTAATTTTCTGAACAAAACCATTTTAGATGTTATTTAGAATTGTAATTCAATTTTATAAAAAGAGACCCTTAATCTATCTCATTTTTCACTGTAGCAAATCCACCAGTAAATGTGTTGTAGCTCCAGTTTTACTCTTTGGTTTAGGTGGTAGATATGGACCCATCCTTCTCCACGGCCAGCCTTGGCTCATTTGCCTAAAATATTCAAACAAGATATAAAGTGTTTGGTTCTCATTGCATTATAGTCTTGAAACAATATTAAGTACTCAGAACTTAAAATTAGTAAGGTTCAGGGTCTGTATCATGTTAGACAAAAGAGAAAATGACGGATGCTGGCCTTTTACAAGCCCTTGCTAATAGGGCATTATAAGGCTATGCCATTCGTTTGTTTAAGAAAGTGTTTCCATACATAATTAGCATTTACTTTTTTGCACTCATCAATAAATTGCCTTAAAAGTTGAGATTAGTTTAATCAAAATTAGTTATTGTAATCTTGAATGGGCCTCATTTAGTTTTTGTCTTGATTCTGCCACTAATGCTGCAAAAATTGAGAGGCACTTGCATGCTTTTCTATGTTGATAATATGATTAGACAGAAGCCAAAACCATATATCAACCTCCTAATAATTTGAGTTTTGCAAATAAAAAGTGCAATCTTGGGAGGATCTTGTTTCCGTACAACCCAACTTTTGATACTTTCATATCGACCACTATTTTGTTCTATATCTTTCCATTTCATATAGACAATCAATTCAAGTTTCATGCTTGTTAATCTCATATCTTCAGATTCAAGGTTTTAAATAACAGTTGCCGTGTAGTTGTGTTGTGTCATTGTGTAGAGATGATGATTCACTGTTACGATTGGGTTGATATGCTACCTAACAGAGATCTTCAAAACCATGTTTAGATTTACAAAATCCTTCTTCCCTTTTGCAGTCATCTACTGAATTTCCCCTCATGTAATTAACGTACGTGATTAAGTTGGAGAGACTTAGTGGTGATGAAATAGAGACTGCCTAATCCTTCAACTGTGTTAAGCTTCAGGGTAATTGTATGAAATGACAAGCTCTTTCAATAATTTCTTCCTTTAAAAAAAAAAAAGAGCTGAAAAAGAGTGGCAGGTGGTGGATGTAGGAGTTAGGTTAGAAAGAGATTTTGCTCTGTCCTTGCACATACAGCAAGGAGGAAATTACTGTAGAATATATTATTGCTCACTGTCCAAAGTCAAAAGATTTTAAAAGATTAGTGCAAATGAGTTGATATAATGCTTTGTTTCTCTATCAATTTAGTGGAATATCACTAATCATGCCACAATCTGAGCAAGACAAATCCAATGGTAGACTTTTAATGTTCTTGCAATCCAGCCCCAACAACCGAAAAAGTAGAGAGAAAATAAAGACAAAGAAACATTACATACTGTACATACAGAGAAACAGCTTGGAAAGCAAATAGCCATAAGTAAAAACAGAAATTGTAAAATCTAGAACATCATCAAATATTCTTCTCACAACTTCTAATAGTAATAACAACAAAAAACCCATCAACAGAGGAAAATGTAATGTACATTCTCAGATAGTGCCATTGGAAATTGGTGCTCCTATTTTGATGCTATCCATATGTGTTGTCTCATAAACTGGCAGACCACTTGAATAGATACCTAAATCGTAGTTTTGTAACTCAAACAAATCAGAACTTGAATCACTTTCAGCTCCATCATCCACTTCATTGAATTTTCTAAATTCTTTCTCTTCTGATGGATATTGATCTACCCAAATCCTATCTTTTTCTATATATTTAAGACTTCCAAGATTCTTGGATTTCTCAGAAAATCCATCACTGAATTTAAATTTCTCATCCAACCAAGACAAATCTGCAATCCTTTTATCGTCCAATATCTCATTCTGTAAGCCTGTAGATTTCACATTTCCATTGTGCTTCGGCAAGGAAATTACTTGTTTGTGATCTGAATAGCTTCTAAAATCTTTGTAACTCTTTGTAGGAGTATGTGCATAAGGAGGAGGTGTTCTAAAACCAGAACTTGAAGAAGAATACAAAGATTTTGTATCAGCACTACTTGAGCTTCGAAAATGACTAATGCTACTTCTTCTTTTCCTTCTTCCACTAGGGCTTTCATCTTCATCTTTCATTGACTGTGTTGTAGACTTTGACTTTTTCTTTTTGGAACTTGTTTGATTGAAAAGAGAATTCAAGAAACTAGCAAGCCTGCCACCTGGAGAGCTTGGTTGCTTATATTTCTTCTCTTTCAATATTTGCTTTTCAACTGTCTTAGACTGTTGATGAGGCAGTGGAGTTCTCATTGGTACATCTAAGCTCATTCTTCCTCCCCTCCATTGATGTCTATAATCTTCTTTGATAACTTTCTGTGTATAACTTGCACCATTATAGCCTGAACCTTCATTGTATCCTGAAAAATACCTAGCTGCCTCAAAAACATCAAGCTCATCAGAATCGTTTCTGAGATGAAATGTTTTTTTGTAAAGTTTTGATGTGTCTGATGATAGTCCTGTGATGGACATGGTTCTGAATCTCAAAAGTGTTTGTTATTTGTTGTGTAAATTCTGTTTGGAAGTTATTTCACAAGTTGTGAAAGGTACTCATTTATTAGAAGAGAAATTATAAGAGAGAGAGATTGTAGAGAGCGAATGGTTTTTTCTTTTTTTCTTTTTCTTTTTTGAAATGATTGAGAATGGTGGTAAGGATTTTGTTTATAATAATAAAATTTGATTGCAGTGTCTATGATATTATATGATGACGGGGTGTTTTGGGGGAGACCCACATTTGATGTGAATTTTGTGCTTTATGGTTTATAGAAGAGAAGTGGGGTACAAGGAAAACATGCTTTTATCCTTCACATATTGTGAAAACCAGAGGTCTCGTTATGGATGGTGGGTGGCAAGTTCCTGTGCTTCCTTGGATTCTAGGTTTCTACTCTCTTTTAGTGGGATTGGCTTTTGAGTGGGTGTTGGCTATGGGTTTATGGACATGTACAATAAGCTTACCTTTGCTCAATTGCTTATATTTATATGTGCAAATCATCATTATGCAGTTGGAGAATTTGGTAGATCCTAATTAACCTTTCTTTTGAGAGCTTGGAAGTCACTCTTTAATTATTTAGGATGTAATTAGTTTATTTATTTGCTGTAAATCAAATATATGGCCCAGTAATGTCCTTGCCTTTCCTTTAGGGTGTGTTTGTTTTTGGGGCTTGAGTCTTTTGATAGAGTTAGCAAGTTATTGTTCATCTATATATATGTATATATATTCTTTTGGACTAATTTACGCACCTGTGGCGATTATATTTTCTTTTCAAATGAATTTAAAATATATATTTTCATATATAATCTATACATTATATTTTCTTTTGAGTGGGTGTTGGCTATGGGTTTCAAGAATCAAACTCTAATGAAATTATTATTTTCTTTTCAAATGAAAACTCCAATTGAAAATATGTTCAGTGTGTAATTTCAAGAATTGGATGAATAGCGACTCAAAATGACTAGCAATAAGTTAGCTAGGGTTCAAATTTCCACTAACGTATTGGCTGTAAAGTTTGAGATATTAGTGCTTGGACTCTCAGTCCCTGTGGGGGAAAAGATAATCCTCTTGCATAATTTCAAGTGCTCTTTTCACAATGTCCTTATCAGTATGCCATGGTGCTTCTTTTTTTAGGTTAAAAAAGGAAAAGGTAAGTGGAATTTGACACTAGCTAGAATTATGAAAGCTGAAGTTAGGATGGAATATTTATGTCTTAGTAATAAATTCATCTTAACTTCACTCAATTTTCTTAAAAAAGGTCAAAGCGTGGTTTATTTAATTTTCTCACGTTATACGAATATTCTAACAAATAAAAATTTTAATTGAATCCTTTTTATTCAAAAAATTATCATTAATTTAGTGAATATAATTTAAAATGGATATTCTTCATACTATAAATTAAAAAAAAATAAATAAATGGTATTTGTACTTTTAAGCTGACATACATTCAAGAAGGAAGACAAAGAACAGGAAAATTTCTGTATAGCCACATGCATGTAACACTATTTTGTTCATGATTAGTCTCTCTCATATTAAGATTACATATGAACTACTGTGTAATTACATATATGTCCCATCAACAAAGAGAAAAAGAAATATTTTTGAGTTATAGGCACCTTTTAAAGTGCAAAAAGGAATTATTTCTACATGCACATGTACATGTACATGTACATGTACATGAATTGCAAGCCACTTTTCGAATTCTTCTTTTTTTGGTGTATTGCACTAATCTATACAGATTTTGTCCATTAACCCATCCCTTCGTGTTGGAGGAAAACATAGGTTGTACATGGTGGCATGTACACGTGTAAGCCAACAGAAGAACGGATCAGAAGTGCACACGTGACATGCCTAGGTGTCATACATCCCAAATATTTGATCCATCACTGTAGATAAAAAAAAAGAACCAGTAGGCAATCTAAGTTATTGATGATGACAGTTGCATTAAGATCATAAGGTGTAGTCAATTTTAGGTTAAAGGGACATAGAACAGTCCTTTTTAAAAACACAGCCACCTCAATTTTCCTTCTAACAAAATCCAAAGTCTTACTGTCTTTTTCCATGGCAAGATCTGAAGTAATCTCTTTTTCAAGTTCTTGTTAGAGCAAAGCAATTAAAGGGTTCAAAGACCACACACTTGTAATCTTGATCGTGACTCATTGTTTTCATTCTTTGGTCTAAGGAAGTCTAACTCCTACTCTCAGGGGAGGGGACTGATAGGGTTTTTAATTTTTCTTTGTATTATAGTTCTGGTGTTCACATGGGTCTCGTTGGCCTTATTAGGGCCTGGACCAAAACCTAATCTCCATGTTTTCATCAATGAGATTTCTTGAAGGGGAAATATATATGGTGAGAGAGGTTTAACCGTATCATGAGTCATGAATTCTGATTTCCTATATTAAGAGAAAATACTTGATCACTGAGTTTTCTTAACACGATTAACTTCTTTAATTATTACTATCATAATGATATTAAATCAAAATTAGGGATGATCATATTTTGGTTTTGAATTCAATTGGATTTAAACCAATATAATTAAAATCAACACCAAAACATAATCGATGTTTCTATATTTCAAACCATAACCAAAATAGTATCTAAATTTGATATCAGTTCTTATTATTAAAATCGAAAACCATGTTTCCGGTTTCCAAAGAAATTTTTAGTTTATTTATTTATTATTATTACTATTTTGAGAAAAAAAATTAAGATTTTTTTATCTAATTAGTTTAGTTTTTCTTTAATAGTAACATTTCCTATTACTCATTTATATTTTAAAAATTGAAAAAAATTAAAAAATTTTGTTTAATTTCGATTTTAAGCTGGAACCAACGGTTCTAAAAAACCTTTTCGAAAATCATCTAAAACTAATTCGATCATTCTTTATAATTGGCGTCATGCCTAATCAACATTATCATGTTAATTAGGTATACAAACGTGCCTCAAATGAAGAGTTCACACTGAAAGAACAACATTGTAAATGATGAATTTTTTTTATTTTTCTGTATTTTAATTGGATGTGAATTCTTGATTTTCTTCTAAGATAGATATTTGAATCCCTAGTTATTAACTCATTGAATTGAAGATATTCCATTACTGAGTTATTATCCTAAAAAATATTGAATGGAGATTATTACATTAGGGAAGTAGAAACCACAAATTATAAGATAAAAGAAAGTAGCAAAACCCCATTTAACCACATGCCTAATGTGCCTCAATCTAAGGTCCAGGAAGGACCTACCCAAAGAAGCCAGACTGGCCTCTGTCCACAAGTAATAGTATTAGGCCACTTGTTACAGATTAGAATGAAATTGCAATGGCCAATGAAAATTTGTCGCTTCTCAGAATCTTTAGCTAAAATCTACATCCCATTTATAGCCAATTTGTATATAATCTCAGAAAGATACATGTTCTCTGTTTAGTTGCTTTCTTTTATTATCCACCACTCCTTATAAAAGTTACCTTCCATGGTCTTCATTATTTGATGAGTCCCATCTCTCCATTTAATGCCTTATTTCCATCTTTTCACTTGAAAAATCTTTGATTGAACAGATTAGAAATGAACCGAAAGAGTTGGTGTAGTGTGCACTTCTTATACATATAGACTTATTAGTTGTTTCGGCCTTAGATGCAGATGCTGACCCAAACCCTTATTTTGATTCACTTAAACTAGTTTTAGCCCATCAAAAGGTCTTTGATTTAGGTTTCAAAGCCCAATTATTGGGCCCACTGGACCCACTATTGTTCCTTGAGAATCAGACAACATGGACCCCATTGCCCTAAAGCTGTCTCCTAAGCTCTCCCAAAGAATTAATACTCATTGCTGGCTTCCAATCTCCAATTGTTGGTTTGTGAATAAATAGGGCAAGTTTTATCATGGAGATAAGAGAGAGAGAGAGAGAGAGAGGAGATAATGAGATCATTTGGGTATGTGGGTATATGTTGGAATGAATTTGATTGGCAACTATATAAGGTAGAGATTTTTTTTTTTTAAAAAAAAGAAAAATCCTTTTCAGTAATAATGACTGTGAAACCCATTTGATGATTTGACACTTTGGTTTATATAAAGCAAAGCTGTTCAAGAACTTGGTCATTCTCAAGAACAAGAGTAGTGTATGTCCAAACTTTATAGCCAGCCAAAACACACATGGTATGCCCATTTAAAACTCAGGTGAGGACGTAAGTTCTCTTCAAGTAAAGGGTTACCCTTAACCACCCACCCACCCACCCTTCATTTTCTTTGTTTTGTGTGTGTGTGTAATATATATATATATATCTAGGATTTCATTAATAACTTACATTAATGAAATAATATGCATACTACGAGACATTAATGAAAGAAAGAAAACAAATGATAGAACTTACATTATGATGTATAGTACAAAGTAAAACTGAGTGTGAAGACACATTTCCATTGGCTTCAATTCATAGTGTTTCCAATGTGGAAGTGGTGATGATGAGATGAGGTCAATTTAATAATTGATCTCTCACACACAAACAAATCCATAAACTTGTGAAAAAAAAAAAAAAACATAATTTCTTGTTTTGACTCTGCCCTGTGTGATTGCTTAATGTACGTACAAAGCAATTTGGGCCATGCAGGCTCACAATATTATAATTGCTTCTTTGACTGTCCTTTTCGTGATTGCTGAATGTACAGCAAAGCAATTTGGGCCACGCGGACTCATAACATCCATCATTCGTTCTTGACAAATATTTCATTTCGGCCCATTCAGATTCAAAAAAAAAAAAAGGTAAAAAAAAAAAAAAAATTATTTTAAATGGCCCATGCAGGTCTCGAACCTGCGACCTTGGCGTTATTAGCACCACGCTCTAACCAACTGAGCTAATAGGCCGGCTGTTGTAAAAATTTCCTACAAGCTAAATCAGAAATACTTTTTGAAATAATTAAATAAATGCTTTAAAAAGTTCTCCTTACGATATATTCCGCGAGCCCAATAGCAACCAATCATCTTGCCTATTTATCCCAAATTTTCTGTTCCCTTTCGAGATAGTTCAAAATTTTATACAAATTCCATTGTCAGTGGAGGTGGCAATTCCTTATCCGAATCTATAAGTTTACTCTTATTTTTTGGTAGATCCACCGAATATAAGTTTTTTTAATTATTTAAAAATTTGATAAAAGAAATAATCTAATCAAATTGAGGTTGTTCACTTATAGCTTAATTTTTATATAATTTTCTAAACTAATACTTGAAATGGGATAGAGAGAGTAATCAAAAAGTCTGATTTTCTGCTCATCTTTTGTAAAACAGAGAATGCCTTCCATGGCCTTATGATGTACATATGAATAGTGCTGTTTAATTAGAGAGTAGAGAAGCATATATTCTCTATATAAATTGAAAGAGTTAAATGTAAAAAAAGAAATATTTCATTTTTCTTCCTTAATTTAAAACATAAATTTAGGTTGGTTCTATCCTTTCTTTGGTTTAATATTTCACGTAATTTTCCTACAAAAATATTTTTCATTTATGTAAAATCCGAATCGCATAAAATGGTTATCCTTTCTGTTCTTATCGGTTTCTTTTTCTTATACAGACAGTTTAAATTGTAATCTTAAACGCGAATCATGTTCCTTTATCTAATTTGGTTGAGGGTTTGTTTTATCTGTGATCTTGGACAGAAGGAATAAAGCATGCATGAGCACTTTTTTTTTTCTTTTATCAAAATATCTTAAAAGGGAATAGTATGTCAAGTTAGTCTACTGAGATGTACACATTTTGTAGGACAATGTAAATTGCTAGTTAAAGATTTCGTTTGCATGTTTCTATATGTACATATTACTTTGGTTTTTAATTTTTTATGGTTAGATGTTGAGCGCTCTCTCGTAATGTCAAATGTAATTTTTGTGGGTGAATTTAGTATGAATTTCGATTAGTCAGGTTGGTCGTGAGTCTCGGATATGCCAATATGATTATTTTTCATGTGAATATGATTAGTATTATAATTCATAATATGCCAATGTTCCTCTTCCAAATGTATTACTAAGATAATCTTTGTGATTAGGGAAAAGCATTATTATTTCAATTCTATAATACTTGTCACATTTAAAATTTTACGTTTTTTAAAATATCATTAAATTTATCTAAGTTGCAATAAATTATTGAATAAATTGATTATATTACTCTTAATTTAATTCTAATTTTTAAGAAAACCATTAAATTAAAGTAATAGTTATTGATCGTATATAAAGGATAAATATGAAAAGAAAAGATTTATTACTATAAATGTAATCAATATTTTAAAACAAATTATTTTAAATTCAAATTTAATATATGATTTGCATTATTATTTCTTTTTCTAAATTCAACTCTGTCATTCTCAGTATAGTTAAAAAATATGAGAGGATCAATCACACCTGACATTAGCTATTGTTATTATTTGCATTAAATAAAATAAAATAAAATAAATTCGAGCGAGTGACACATGTGACAACCCTAAAGTCCGAGGTTGACAGATTGGGCATTAGAGTTTGGACAATAAATTAAAAGTGAAATTCTGATCCAGCGGACAAGAGAAAAGGGCAATTGATGCTATGCAACCAGTGACAAGTGGACACGTAAAGGAAACAGTAAGTGTTGTCATTACTGACCGGTGACTGAAAGGCTTTCTCTTGGTTCAGTCTAATGGTGTTTTATAGTACTGCGATGATGCCCTTATGGGAATGGCTGCCCCTCCCTGCCCTGCCTGCCTACGCTAAATCATGCATTATGGTTATGGACGCTCCATTTCTATACCTATCTATCTCCTTTTTCCTGACAAATATATATATATATATATATATATTATTTCAATCCTTGCTGGAAATTCGAAAGAGGAGCAATTCTTTTCTCTTGAATTCTAAATAATAATATAAACGGTATACCGGCGAACACTGTATATATGATAATATTAAAAAAATTTACTTAAAAATACAATTTATTTTTACTTATCATTTGGCATCTATATTTTTTTTTTGAGGGAAAAAGAAAACCTCTCTCCCTTGTAATAAATTGATGGAGAATGGAGAGTTGCATTTTTCTGATACATGATATGATTTGTCGGATACGTGGGTAGCTCGCCATCCTTATGTGACGCCTCTGATTCTGAAATGTCCCCCATTTTCTTCATGTAATTTTCAATTCAGTTGCAACTTTATTTTTACAGAAATTTTGTTTTGTTTAAATATGTTAATGACGTAAAACTATATAAAATTTTTTATAATATTTTCTTTTTTTAGTTAGAAAATAAAAACAATAACTATAATATTCATAAACAATTCCAAAATTATTTTTTCCATCGAGCTATATGTTTTCTTATAGCTTAGCTTCTTCCAAATTTTAATTAATTGGTCTTCTTCTTCTTCCTCTTAGATGCTGACTGATGGATTCCTGGACTAGATAACTATGTACCGGGGAGCATTTTTAAGTCTACCTGTCGATTTTTAACATTTAACGTATATAATTTTATTAATTGAAATTTACAGTTATATAAATATGATATATAACCAACATGAATTTTTATTTTTATTTTCAACTCATTTATTCTTTTGTGCTTATATTTTTAAATTGTTACAAGATATGAAAGAAAAAACTCTTTATTTTTTCATTTCCTCAAGTTTTTTTATTTTTCTATAACAAAATTAAAACGAAGACAAAATTGTACGAATGCAATTTAAATTTTTTAACAAAATAAAAATAAAATAATATGAAGATTTTTAAATATTTACGGTCATAATTCTTATAGTACTTCTTTGAATTATTTCATATATATATATTTTTTATATTTAGAAAGTGATAATAACCTTGCATTGCATATTTTTGAAAGTTATTTGTTACTATTCCCTCGCTCTAAGAGTAAATTAATCAAATTTAATTTAATTTTGTATTTAATATTAAATTTATAATGAAATTGACTTAACTTTAATATAAAATTATTTTGGTTGGTTCATCCTTTTCATTATATGTCATTTATTTAATTTGTATTTAACCAATATGGGATTATGCACACACTTCAATGGAAATTATTGAAATTTAATTTTACTTTTACCATTATTATCTGATTTGGATCGAAAAACAAAAAACAATTAAGCATAATACACCGATACATTATGATCTAGCAATAGATCCAAATTGTAATTTTATCTTCGTACTAAAAGAAAAAAGGCATAGATAAGATGGGTTTACTGCCAGCTTTGCAACACGTATGTACTATGCCCTTTTGGGTTGCTTTGACCACTGAAAATATATATTTTTTTGTATTATACCCATTAAAATTTTGTTACCATATTAAATATTATACTTCAAAAATCTTCGATTGCTAACTATAAACCTTTTTTTTTTAATTTTTTTTAAACTATAAAAGCCTTTTCTTTTAGAAAAAAAAAAAACAATAGTGATGCATGATTTTAGCCTTTTTTTTTTTTTGATACAAACTAAAAAAAAAAAAAATTGTCCAAATCTTACAAGCTTAAACCAATATGGATAATATATAAAAAAAAAAGTTACAGGACTTTGTATTAAAGTTTACTTTTGAACAATTACTTCTGGGGATTGTAAATCTATTAATTTTTATTAAATTCAATAGTTATTTATTTATAAGTTTTTGAATTTTTCAATTATATTTGAATATAAGATTTACTTCCGCGGTTTCATATTAAAAAAATTGTGGTTTTCTTTCTAGATTTGAACCCGAGTTTGAGTTCAACTCTTTCATTTAAAGAGATTAATGAGTAGGTACGAGCTTAGCTCATTAATCTTATTGACTAAGGAACTTTTTTCAAGCTGAATACTAAATAATTTATAACAGATTTGACTCGTCTACAACTCGAAATATAAAAATCCACTGAGTCACTAATTTAATGACGCACCAACAACCGAGGACGCTTTATAATAAAGACAAATTGACGAGTCATTTGGTTGAAGAGCAGTTGCTGTATAGGCTGGCTGATAAAATTGAGAACTCATAATCAATAATGGTATGATTTTCACCAAAGAAGCATATAGGGACAGTGTACTAAAGTTTTCTTATTGTATATAATACAGATTCAGAGTGTCTCTTTACTTAATATTTATTGGAAGACCATAATCTAGGAATTCACATGGTTAAGATTTAATTTTGTTAAAAAACATATAAAATATTTTGTTTTTTCAATTTTTAAAATTAATTTAATTAATAAATGAATATATCGTTATCCATTTTCCACGTTAATATTTATTTAAAATCTGATTTTGCTTTTGGATTTATAAAAGGGAAAATTATAAATATAATTCCATATTATGTTAAAATTAACTACTTTGTTCTCCTATATTTTAAAATACACTATTTTGCTCATATGTTTTTTGACTATTATACATTATTGTTGTTTAGTTAAAAATTTTCAATTTTTTCATTGAATAGCTTGTGAAATGATATAAATACCTTTAAATTTTTAGTAAATTTAAATTTAAATAAATATAAGAAAAATAAAATAAAATGCATTCCAGCATAAAAAATTAAAACGATAACAACTCCTCCCTTAGGCTTCAAAATAAGATTCAGAAATGAAAAACAATTCAAAGGGTGAACCAAAACGAAGATAAAAAGATACATTACTCTTTTCCTTTAAATTTAACAGCAAAAGAAATAAAAATATTAACGAAAAGATGAAATAGTTGGACGAAATGAATATATGGGAATAAAATCTTATATTTTGAGAAATAGAGTTACAAAATAATTAATTTAAATTTAATATAGGAACAAATTTATAATTTCCCCATTTAAAAACCCTAAGATAAGACTGAAATAAGTGTAGGTCTATATATCTATCTTGAAAAAGAGGGTAAATTTATAATTTTATTATTATTTTTAGGTTTGTTTGAAGAGATAAGAAATTTCGTGAATATATATATATTATCAAGGACTAGGTAATGCAAGAATTTCTGTAGCAAATCAGAATAGGAAAGAAAATATAAACAAATGTGAAACTTCTTTTCAGGATGTATTTTAGAACTAGGAAAACAGCTAGCCAATGGGGAAATGCCCATGAAAGAAATAAAACAAACATATACCAAAAAAATAAGTGGGGGAGAATACCTACCTAAAAGCAAGAAAGTGAAAATAAATTGAACAGAGGTAATACTTTGATAGTAATAGTAAGCTTGTTCTTTTTCTGGCCAAGAAAATCTGTACAATCTAATAGCAAAACTAAGCCCAATCAGCAGCTACAAGAAAGCATAAACCTAAATTTAAAAAGAAAAGTTCAAAAAAAAAAAAAAAAAAAAAAAAAAAAAAAAAAAACATAAAGAGCCCCACATTGTCTTCCTTTTCCTCTCTCTCTCTCTTTGATATTCCACTAAAAGGGTATCGTTTATTCATTATCTTACTGTACCAAAGCTAATGTCTGGCTATTAAACACCTATTCTGATAAAAGACGAACCATTTCTTGCCCTAGGAATAAGGAGGAAAGAACAAGAAAAAAAAAAAAGAAGCAGCACATAGATATCTAGGTGCAGCGATACATAAAAAAATGGGGAGAGGAAGGGTAGAATTGAAGAGAATTGAGAATAAAATAAATCGACAAGTAACATTTGCCAAGAGGAGAAATGGGTTGCTTAAGAAAGCTTACGAGCTATCTGTTCTTTGCGATGCAGAGGTTGCTCTTATCATTTTCTCTAATCGTGGCAAGCTTTATGAGTTCTGCAGTACTTCTAGGTATGATGCACCTACCCAATCCTTTTGCTTCTTCTTTTTTTCTTTTCCTATTTTATTTTATCCGAATTAATGCTTTTAGGATAATATTATTTATTTATTATTTTTTTTGTTCAAGTTTTGGTCTTTGATGTTTTGTTTAATTTATGCTGTTTCTTTATCTCTTTTATATTTTTTTTAATTGGTTATTATTTTTTATTTTCTTGGTCAAGGTTTCTGTTCCTTGGAGATCTGAGTACTAAAGAAACCCTTTTCTGCATATATATATAAACCCTTTATTCTGCGAGTATTATATATATATATATTATAGTATATAAATATATATTCAAGAAAAGAATAACTTTCAGCTTTAATGTCTATTAGCAAAATATTGTTATATAATATATTCCCAAGAAAAGAATAACTTTCAGCTTAATGTCTAATTGCAAGTAATTGTTCAAATGAATTTCCTAAAATATTATTCATAGCGCTGAGTTTGCTGTTTATTATTAGTACTGTTACGATTCATATCTGGATTGAAGACCCAGTTGCTTAATTGGAAGTGAAAATATTTTAAATTCTATGATTCCAAGAGTAGCTGTTGGATTTATTTCTTGTCTGAAAAGGAATTAGATATTTGTGGATTAATTTCCTAAGTGCAAAAAATAAAAGACAAGAAAAGAAAAAGGGATTCCTTATACAAATCAAAAGATGCTAACTTTCCTTTAAGAGTTGAGAATAAATACATGCACTCATATCTGTTTTCCTTAGTTTATCACTGTTTATTTTTATTGCAAAACCCAATACTGAAGAAATTTTTTCACAATAAAACTTCTATTTGATTTAGGAGCATTAAGTGCAATGTTCAAGTAAATTAACCTTTCTTCTTCTTTTGCCTTTTTCTTCCAAGAACCAGTGCTTTCATTACGAGCCTTTGATATCCTCTCCTCCTTGTTACATACTGACCATTCATTTACAATATTTCTAATTTGGTTGGTTGTTTAAGCTACTCAGTTATATATATATATATATATATGTATATTAGAGTTATTCATGCTTTTATTTTTAATTCTACATTTATTATTTGGTAAATTTTATATTTGTGCATAAATATATAAGGACAATTTAGCGGTTCAACTAGGTTTATTTACTGCCAGTGAAGTTGGATTTTTTCTTTTTTCTTTTTTTTTTTTTCTTCTGGTGGGTGAATAGACGAGCACAACAAGTGTATGCGTGTGCGCGAGAGGGAGGGGGAGAGAGCGTAATAGGCAATTCATTAGTTTTAATGTAATTTGAGAATTATGTACTTACAAGTTTAATTTAATGATAAGCGCATATTCAATTTGGATAAAAATTTAGACTTTTCACTTAGCATTTGAAAAAGATAATTTGAGATTGTTAATTTTATTGTAATTTCTTATTTATACTTTTATCAGGAAATGAAGTTTCCAAAATAGGATGAAACTAAATAACATAAAGGATGTGGACAAATGATAAATTTGGAATTAAGTGGGGAGAATGACAACTATAAAAATTAAACCAAGATGGATGAAATGCAAAAAACTAAAAATATAACAAGAGAGTTTCATGTGAAAAAGGAATTTAAGCTAGAAAGAAATAACATGTTCAAAAAAATTTGCAGACCAAAAGTAAGGAGTTTATGATGAATGTATTGAGATAGAAAAATACATTAGGTAAGGACTGAGTGCATGAATAAAAGGGAGTGATGTTGAGAGAAGTCGAGAGAAAAGAGATTGAAGTGATGGAAAATAACGAAGTAATGTGCCCTAGTTCCTAGATCAACAGATTGTTTCCTTCATTAGAAAAAAAAAAAGAAGCAAACTTTCACTAATTATTATTGAAATAAAGCAAATTTTCAAGAATTCAAATAACAGGCTATAAGCAAAACACAACTTTGATATGATTAGGCAAATCAAGCCAAACTCTAGGCTAGCATAAAAAGAAGATGAACAACCTTGTTGGCTAGCCTACAAATCCATAACAAAGACGTATTATTGTGTTGGCTTAATAGAATAACAATAAGAGATAAAAGTACCCCACTTAAAAAAATCAATAGCATTAGCTTAAACAACATTACATACATCCCTAGTAATTGTCTAAAAAGTTTTTGGTATCTTTGCGAGTATTCTCATATCCTTTGTATTTAAAATCAATTTTGTTTTAAAGCTCGTGGTTGCTCCTCTCATGAGTGTTTTTTTATGGTTTGAACATTCGACCTAAGGAAATGTTTAGATTATTGCAATTTAATTTTTGTTGCAATAATTAGTTTGTGAAAATTCTTTTTATTATATATATATATATGTTCATGCTTTGTTCTCTTGCTCTCAATGTGGAAAATTTTAACTTGAACTTTGGAGGAAAATGTTTTCCTTAGATATACATGTAGCATAATAAATGGAGGTGAAAGAATTCTCTTCTAGATTATGTTTATGTGATTTTTTTTATTCCTACTGTCTTGGTTTTGTGTTTGCCTTCTCTCATATATAGTTGTGCTTCCCTTACCTTTCTCTCTATTTACCTAAACAAATACTTTTAATAACTCATTTATTTTCTAAAATATATTTAAATCCAAGGCCGCCTTCATTAAAATGATATTTCCTTATTCAGTATATTTTCTATCCTTCTACACCAATGCATAAAAAAATAAAAATAAAAAAAATAAAAAAAAAAAAGAAGAGAGAGCATTGAATACCGATAATTTCTTTGCAACACATTTGGGAATCTTAAATATTGAGAGAAATTTGGCCAAAGTGGTTTTTTTTATATATATTTATTAATAGTATATGTTAAATCTATTACATGCAATATTTATTATACTAATATGTTCGTTACTCATTGCTAGACCATAATTCTACAAATTGTAGTTTTTTTTTTTTTTTTTGAAATTTCAGTTTCTAGCATCCTCACTAGTCATTATTATTTTTTTTTTTTTTTTTGAAATTTCAGTTTCTAGCATCCTCACTAGTCATTATTATTATTATTATTATTTTTATTGTTAATTCATAGCATGGCAAAAACAATTGAGAAATACCAGAGATACAGTTATGGAGCATTGGAAACCAATCAATCTGCACAAGATACCCAGGTAGATATATCCTTTATTTTTATTTTAATGCACAAATAAAGCTGCAATTGGTTTGATAGTAAGTTATTCAAGTTTAGTATCAAGTCTTAAATTTTGTTCAAACTTATTTTATCCAAATTTTGAATGAGTTCGAGCTCGTTCATAGCCTTTTCAACTGATTGAAGTTATGAATTTTGATATTTTGCACTATCTAATATCTAGTAATCGTAATATTGTATATTCTTTGAATAATATTTATAAACATTTCTTTTTTGTTTTAATTGCTCAAACAGAGATGCTACCAGGAATATTTGAAGCTAAAAGCAAACGTGGAGGTCCTGCAGAGCTCACAGAGGTAATTAAACTCTAATTATTTTTTTGAATAATTAATTAATAAGTAATGCACCAAATCAAATAATTAATTAGAACATTTTATTGTTTGATTTTATAGAAATCTACTTGGGGAAAATTTGGGAGATCTGAGCACAAAAGATCTTGAGCAGCTTGAATACCAACTTGATTCCTCATTGAAGCAAATCAGGTCAAGAAAGGTAAGAAACTGTGATTTTAATCTTGCTGCCATAACCAGTAACTCTATCCTATATAAATCCATATTTTTATAGTTTTATCTAATTATATTTTGTCAATCACAAAAAATTATATTTTGTCAAATCCACAAAAAAAAAAAAAAAAAAAAAAGAGTAATTTGATTATATCAAAACCCAAAAAAAAAAAATTTTTTTACGTTTATCATAGAGTAGGCCGATCCTATTGCTGAAATAAACCTCTATCACGAAATACTAACCATGAATAGAAATGAACTGTTCGAGTGTATTATGTTGATTATATCAAAACCAGAAAAAAAAAAAAATTTAGTTTATCATAGGTAGGGATTCTATTGCTGAAATAATAACCTCTATACGAAATACTAACATGAATAGAAAATGAACTGTTCGAATAACATCTACTAATATCATCGAAAACATTATTAAAATACTTTTACGAGAAGGTTTTATTGAAAATGTCAGGAAACATTAGGAAGGCAACAAAACATTTTTAGTCTTAACCCTACGACATAGAAGGAAGATGAAAGGGCCGTATAAAACTAGACTAAATTTAAAACGAATCGGCCCACCTTGTGATTTTAATCTTGCTGCCATAACCAGTAACTCTATCCTATATAAATCCATATTTTTATAGTTTTATCTAATTATATTTTGTCAATCACAAAAAAGAAAAATTACTAAATATTTTAATTAGCACAATTGAAGTTATGCAAATAGCAAAAAAGAATAAAGAAAAGGAAAGTGGGTAATACAAGTAACCTTTTTCTTGAGAAAAGTGCTAATGTCATTGTTAAGTGTCACACCCTAATGGAAGATCAATTAGACTGTTGAGAAGATTCCCGAGAAAGATTTTCCTAATCCAACACAGTAATTCCATAATTATATGTTAGTCATTTGTATGACTTCCTGCACCGCCAAACCCGAAGGTACAAAAAAAGTCAATTCAACTATTTGACAACATGTCTTGTGATAAGTTTATATTATGAGAATATCAGAAAATAATAATAATAATAATAATAATGAGTGATTTTATGTGATAAGATAAACAATTTATATGGCGAGAAAAAATAAAAATAAATGAGGTGTCTTATTATTTGACACTATAAATTTAGACGAAATAATATATATGAGTGAAGTAATATATATGAGTTGATGGTGGGTTTATTCATAGAAAACTTGATAAAGTGAAAGATTATCTAGGGTTATACGGTACGAATAATCCTTCCCCGTAAATAATGTTCACAAAATTAGAGATAAGCAATCAGAGACTTTTCGCTTCTCTTATCCTTCATAAGACATTTGACATTTAGATTATACTTATTGTCAACTGTTACTGTCATTTACTGTATCAATTAATTAAAACAATGAATTAATGGAGAAAAAAGTGAACAAGCTATTAAATTTAACAATTATTTAAAGGTCAAATACATCGTGGTTTCACTCTTGAATTTTATTTCTTGTGGCAGCCTCAATTTTTATTTTCACTTATCAAATGCTTCAATTTATAAAATTACACTTATTATACACTTCAACTTGTAAAATTATATTAATTAAACTCCTAATTAAATAGTTGCAAAATGTGAAAATTACTATCACAAAAGTTATGCTAATTAAATCAATATTTTGCATAAAAAAGCCAAAAACCATAAAAATTATTGCTGTTAATATGAAAATATGTGTAATATTATCAAAATTTATGAATTCAAGTGCAAATATATTATGCACAACGTTCAGACTACCAAGACAATAAAATTGCAAAGTTCACAAGTGAATTATTTACTTTGCTAATATTTAAATCCATTAACTTGTTAACAATTTGAAAAATGGAAGGATTTTCCATAAATGACTTAATACATTTTAATATGTGAGTCATAACCTTTTAGCCTTATTTAATTTTTCTGTTAGAGATATTTATTGCTTTGGACATGATAAAGTGAACTTTCAAGAGTAAGCAAAGATCTTATAATGCATGTGAAATTCCAAATTAACGTATTCCTGTAGTTTTACAAGATAATTAGAATGGTGGGACTTGCACCAATCTCTCATTTGAATATTCTTGTTCAATTTTGCAGACACAATTTATTGTTAATCAACTTTCTGAACTTCAAAGGAAGGTAACATATATATATATACAAAGATAATTGAATGGATGGGGATCTTGCAACCAATGCTCTATTTGAATAGTCTTGTTTCAATTTGCAGACGACAATTTATTGTTTTAAGCACTTCTGAACTTCAAAGGTAAGGTAACATATATATATACTGATATAATATCAGGATTATACGATAATGATGCCGAAAAATTCTTGCTCTGTGTATTTTATGTGCTACATTAACAATAATGGAATTGAGCGCGCGCAGGTGAAGTGTAGAATATTATTGATTGAGAGAGAACCCAACACGACTGGCTGTTAAGGAAGAAGGTAAAGGGCACTTTCAACTAGGTTTCCTCTAAACCCATGAAGTGTATGGTATAAAATAATTAAAATTCCCGATCTCCTTCTACTATATAATCAAGCTCACGGATATTGACGTTAGTTTGTTTTAGGTTTGGGACGATGTATATATAATTCCGAAATAATTTCTGCCTTGTATTTTTGTGCTACAAACAAAATGAATTTACTTCTCTTGCAGGAAGAATTATTGCTGGAAACCAACACTGCTTTAAGGAAGAAGGTAAGGCACTTTCAACTAGGTTTCTAAACCCATGCATGTTATTTGATTTAAATTTCTCTCTCTATATATATACACACGGTAGATAGTGTTGTTGGTTTGGGACGATGTCTTTATTCAAAATGTAAAACTTGAGCAATCCTCATTCTTTTGAGCTAATTTTTGGAGAGTGAGTTAGACTCGATCCATTTTGCAATATAATATCAGAGCCTGTCATGCTTCAATGTTAGGCTACTTATAAATTTCACGCTCTAAATGTTCATACCCGGCGAGGGTCCATTACAAACTACTTATACGGTAAGATCTTGTCTTATGGACAGTTGGAGGAAACAAATGCAGCACTTGAATCATCATGGGAAGGTACAGATCAAAGCGTTCCATACAACTGCCAGCCTCCTCACTCAGAGGGTTTTGTTGATCCTTCGCTGTGCGATAGTAATTTGCGAATTGGGTAATCAAGATTTTTACTTAATACAACTTTTTTTTTTTTTTCCTTCAATTACACATATAATTACTTTCATTATTTCTTGTTAATTACAGTTACAATGCGGTGGAAACAGATAAAGTTACTGTTGCAACCACAGGACAAAATGTTGATGGATTTATTCCAGGGTGGATGCTTTAATTTTTTGTTGAAAAATTAAAGAAATTGCACTGTAGAAACAATAAGTGAACAGAATAAGTAGAGAAGTGTATATGATTGCTCATAATTTGGCTTCTTGGGCAATATTTATTATAGATGCCTTTATTTAGTGATTGGATAAACTTCCTGTAATAATCAAATTTTATTGTTCTACTCCATTTGGTTAAACCAAAGTTTGTACTTGAATATTTGTTATTATTATAAAGTTTTTGTAACCATATACTTGTAATTTGTAAATATTATTTGTATGCATTTGGATTTTTTCTGCATAATTTATTTATTTATTTTTTAATTTTCAACCCTTCCATTAAGAATAATCAAGTCACTATACTTTAAATTGAATAAATAATTGACTGATCCAGTATTTGCCTCACGTTTATTATCGACGGCTTACATTATTATGATGGCTCGATTTGGATAACTTATGTCATTTTCTGCGGTATTAATTTAGGGTCATGTGGGTTCATATGTCAATGGTTTAGGTATTAAATTGTTGCATGTTCTATATGTACTTGTCATTTTCAACCAAAACAGAACTTCCCGTAGGCTCAAATCTTCTGTCAAGGCAGGACATATGATGATGATGATGATGATGATGCGCATGGACCGTTGATTATCAATAACATAATGCATTAGATAATAGTTATCTATATGTGTTATGTTTTTAATGTGGATTGCCTAATTAATACTGCAATTAGTCTTAAGTAATGTTCATATGATTACTAACCTTTCTTTCAAAGGTTTCGAATCAAAATGCAAAAGTATTTGGGCTTGACTTGATTTGATTTGAAAGGATTGCTTTAACATGTCGGTAGGTCAATTATTTATTATAGAAGATAAAAGAAAAGCAAAATAGGAGCATGAGAGGAAAGGAAAGGATAATGATAAATTCTATTGAAGTGACTGAAGCACATTATAGTAACAATAATAATTACTATTGTTTCTATATTTACAAAAAAAAAATAATAATAATTACTATTGTTTTTAGTTAAGGAATAATTAATTTAGAAAAAATATAATAAATATATTTATAAATGTAAATAAATAAATAATTGACTTATTACATGGAGCTAAATGACCACAAGCACCGTGATTGTAAAGAAAATAACTTTTTTTTTTTTAAATTTATCAATAATCTAATTTATTTAAATTAATTACAGTTTTAACAAATGCTTTGGGTAACCTTCGTGTTAGTTTAATTTGAAATTGTTGAATTTAATTTTGAAAATCCACCCAAGTTAATACCTAATTTATTGCCTTCGAGTTAGATTTCAATTTTGACTCGATTTAATTAAGTTAAAGAACATAATAGAAATCAACTCGAAGTCATTGATCTAAGTTGATTCTAGTTCTTGGTAAGGTAAAACGAAAGTAATCCAATCTCTTACACATTAGATTAATCCTAGATTAATTTGACTCGATTTGTTCAAATTTAGGTTAAAACCAATACTTGAACAACCTTATTAAAGCACTTTTTAAAGGGTATCTAAATATATTTTTTTTATCCAAAATAGTTGGTTTAGTATTTGCAAAATTGGTGGATATTAGATTCTTTACTTAGTCACGAGATCAAACAGTACGAAATTAGTATCTTGGCAAGGGCTTTAACATTATAGCTTTTTTACACATTATAGTTTTCGAGTATGAAATCTAAAATTAAAGTAACATATTTTTCTTGTTTTAACTACAACTATTTTCGGCCTATCGAATTATAACTAGATTATGCTCACACTCGATAGGCTCCGTTAAGGGATAAAGTAACACGTTTTTGGTAAATAATTAGAATGACATGTGTATTACCAAGTCGCATTAATTGCTACCACTTGCTTAGTTGCCTTTGGAAAATGCCCCAAAGAACCAAAAATTGGCGATTTGAAGTCCCCACATTTCAGTTTCAGGCATATGTCACTACTGAATGTGACCTCCAACAAACCTCTCTCTTACAATATGTCAATTATACCCATTATATGTTTAGTCTGTTAACAGCAATTGTTTTGCATCAAAAGTCCCCATGACCATTTTGAATGATTGCTTTCCATAAAGAGGAAAAAGGATAAAAGCATAACATATTTAAGATAAATAGATTTTTTAGAGTTGGACTTTCCTGTACTCAAATTTATGACAGTATATAATCAAATCAACGAAAATAAATATTTTTGAAAAAATTATATATATTTTATAATATTTTTTAAGTGAATAGTTAAAAATATCATAATTTAACAAAAAAATTTATTTTTCAATAATTTAGTCTATACATTGAATATAAATAAATCAATCTCTTTTTATTGGTACTGTGTTGATTGAGATTCAAACTCAAAATTTTTTGTCCCAATATTTTTTTTTATACAAGAAAGGAAACAGGATTTTAGAAAACTACAAGCAAAACGTTAGATACACCCTCTACTAGGGGTGAAGGGAAAGGGAATTAGAGAGGTGGGCTCTCCCGGCTAGGATTTAAATAAATTGGGTAAAGCATAAAATACGACAGTCAAATGGGACAAAGCGGTGGGATGGCGTTTAAAATAGTGGAAAAGATCAAGTTTTGAACCTCGGAAATGTAAAGTAATTTTTTTTTTTTTTTTTTTTTTAATCAAGTGGACACGAGCGGTGGATGGCGTGTTTAAATAGTGGGAAAAGGGATCAAGTTTTGAACGCTTCGAAAATGGTAAAAGTAATTGTTTTTTTTTTTTTTTTTTTTTTTTAAGAGGAGGACAAATTGGAACCCCTCTCCTATATGAAGCAATCCTACTAATTTTTTTTTTTTTTTTTTTTTTAAGAGGAGGACAATTGACCCCTCTCCTAATATGAAGCAATCCCTACTATCGTCAAATAACAAAAAAAAATTAGTGCCTAAACAAAAAATTCGAGAATTTTAAAGCTACTAGGATTAAATTGTCCTTCATTTATATTTTTTCTTTATAATTTTTAGTCCAATCAATTTAAACGAAGTTGAGTATGGATATTTGAAAAAGAATTTTAAAATATTTGAGATAGATGTGGATATCAAAATTTTATACAGATTAGATATGATCGGTATAGATTTTGCGTGTACCGAACCATTTTCATCTCAAAATATCAATCAATTATTTATGTGATGGTTTAATTAATATGAATTACAAATAAATTAGTTCAATAAATTGTATTTAATGTTGAATGTGGTAATAAAGTATTTGATTAAATAAATTAGACCATTAATTTTTTTAACGTGAGATAATTAGAGCATTAAACAAGTAAAAGATGTGTGGTCTAAGCATTACTTGATTGGCAATGAGAAAGAAGAGAAAGTGGGATGAATAAAAAGATATTGGTGTGGTGGTTGGAAAGGTGCTCCCTCCACAAAAGGGAAATATAAAAACCTAGCATTAGCAAGCAATATAATGAGGCCAATTCTCCTTTTTCTAAACTACTGCTGTAGGCATCAATGCAAAGCAAAAGGCTACTCTCTCACTCTTCAACCAAATTCCCATAAATGGCCAAATATTTTTTTTTCCTTTTGTTCTTCTTCTCATCTTTTTTTTCCGCCTCAAAATATATATAATTTTTGTTTACTAGTTGCAACTTGCAAGAGATAAACTATGTAGTTCGTACAGTTACTTATAGTATTTATTATAAAATTCTATATCTTGGGTAAATTTATTACTATTATTATTTGAAATTTATAATTGATTATACATATATAATCTGTGCACTCGCAAGTATAATCGAGTGGTAAAATACATATTTAATTTGATATTTGGTAAAATTAAAAAATAATATTAAAAATATAAATTTTCCAAGTAATAACGTTGGACGGGTTGAATTTTCCTCCTCATTTCTACATATTTTATGAGCTTTATCCTTAATGTGTTTCTTTGGTTGAATTTTCGCTCCTGCATTTCTAACATATTTTTAAATGAGGCTTATCCTTAATGGTGTTTTTCTTTATATATTATAATTATATATAGATAATATATGATATATATTAAATATATATAGTATATAGTCGATCTAGAATAGAATAACATAAAATAATGCAGTGGAGAGCGCATCTGTTGTTTTATATATATTCGATCTGAATAGAATAACATAATATGCATGGGAGACGCATCTTGTTGTTTGCCATGGTTAATTTGATGCTGACAATCGATAAGGCATTCGATTCTCTTGTAAGTTTAAAGAAGGACTTTTATTTTGATTTGTGCGAGATTTCAAAAACAGCTTGATTAACCTAAACTTTTAGTTTTGTTTAACTACTATTTTTTAATATATAGGTTTAAAAGTTTAAGGGTTCAAAGTCAATAAATAAAATTTTAAGGGTTTAAGTATTGAACCAAAATTTTACAACTAAATTAATTAATTTAGAAACAATATGATTTATCACCATTGTTGCCACTCCGACGGGTGAGATGGGATAACGGAAATTTCTTCTCTTTTAAATAAAGGTTTTAAGTTTGAGACTTAGGTATGGAGTATTTTTAAAGATTTGCCCCTCTTCAGGACTTGCTCAGCCTGAATCCGGATTAATCGGACCAATGAGCTTTGAACACGAAATTTGGTTAAAACCAAAAAAAAAAAAAAAATCATTACTACCCCATTTATTTTTTTAAAAAATTACTGTAGAATTAAATGACGTAATTAACTCACTTTAAAATCCAAAAATATAGGAATAGGATCATGCCTTTGGAAATTTTGAGATATGAGAATTATTGGGTTTGGGTTGTATGTATCCTAAATGCATATCTTACTCCTACCACGACTAAAGATTCTCTATGTATGGTTTTATTTGTTTGATGTTACAAACCGAATGGAATATGTGTAGCTTCAAATGGTAAGGAAATAACCAACTACATTTATCACATAATTCACAAACAATCACTTTTCTTTTTCTTAACAAAAAAAAAAAATTATTTTTTACACATTATTATTTTTGATCCTATGGTTTTTGTTAATCTTATTCACGAATGAGATGGTGGGTTTGGAAAAGCAAGGTGCTTCGGGTGGTAAATAAATTGAGGTAAATTTGTCATATCCTTAATTTTGTCACGCTGTCAGGTTATGTGAAATACATGTCTGTCTATGTAAGCGGACACATATGTATCTGTTTGTTCCACTTAATCTCATTAAAAGTTCCAGTTATCCATGTCATCTAGAGACACCAAATTAAAGAAAAAAAAAATACAAGTCTGAACACTCAATTGTTTCAATTTTTCGTTCAAATACCAAAATAGAAAAAAAAATGTCAAGTACAGGCACAAAAA